AAGCATGACCGGACAAGCCTGATCTCTTTGTAATCAAACAAAGAATTGACTTTGATATGGTTAAAGGTTTCCAAGGGTTGCTCTTTCAATTCCTTATTCTTTCTTTCGATCCCCTCTCTCAGAGTATACGGCTATACGCATGCGCGAAACGAGAGAGAACGAAACGGTTCCAAATAAGTGCGTCCTTTTCTAGATAGAATTACCCCCACTCCTCAAATTTCCGACAATGCGTACTCTAGTACTACTATCTCTATGGTCTATCTAGAGTCCTAGATATCAGAGAAGCGCAACTGGCTTAAGTCAATATCGCAAAATTACTAAGAAAAGTACTAAAAATGGCGTCGTTTGCAGACGAACTATGAAATTCACCAATCGTCTATTAGTCAGCCATTTTTAATACCAATGAATGAATGTCATGATTGGCTGACAGTCATTAGCGATCAGGACGCGGAACATCGGTTGCGCTTCTCATCAGAGAATAAATATCAATCTAAAGCCGGTATTCATAGTCGGTTCCTATTTCAAGACTGTCTTAAGTAATGTCTTAAGATGCTAAAGCGGTCCTCTGATTGGTTCGAAACTCCTCAAGACTGAACTTAAGACGATCTTGAATATAAGAACCATATATGTAATACTACTATATGGCTAGATGAGAGAGAAGTCCATGTCCCTGAACCACGGTGCGGGAATATACTTCTCTCTCTTTCTCAGCGTACTTTGAACGTTGTGCGCATGCGTCGGATCATCCCCTCCATCAATAATAAATAGAAGGATAAATATACATATATGTGTAAGGAAGAAGGAAAAAGTGATTGATTCCGCTTCAGGGTATAACCTTGTTACAGTTAACAGAGTCAGTTTAGTCGGAATAAATAAATTAATCCTAATTTTATGAAATAAACTTTTTCAAGATTGCCGTTATGTATATAAGAATACAGTGCAATCCCTTACAGAAATTTCATGATAATCAATGCAAACTAATACCTATTTCATACCTATGCAAACTAATGTTTTCAGTCGCATTAGGCTTTTTGCCACATAAATAACATATCTTGACCATTTTTGCCTGTGTACAACAGCACACATCTAATAAGCATAACGAGCATAATCTGTTCGCGTCATCTCACTGATCGCACTCTATTTTCCTATTGGCGGATGCAATCAATTCAACGCATGCGCACAACACTCAAAGTACTCTTAGAAAGAGAGGGAAATATATATTCCCGCACCGTGGTTCTGGGACCGCTTCCTCTCACTCCCTCTTATAGGCACTAGCCATATAGTAGTATTACATATATGATAAGAACTGACTATGAATACCGGTCTTAGGACTCTAGAAAGTACCATGGTCGAAGTAACAAGGTCTGCTATTGCGCAGCCTTTTATATCTAGCCAATAGTAAGCAAGACTGAATTCCGCCAAATTGCGCGCAATATATGTGAAACATATTAAAAAATGATTTTGTGTGCACACACATACACATAAAAAATGGCGGAATTTAGTCCTGCGCAGAACCGGACGAATATTTGTCATGGATACGAGCAGACCTTATTACTTCGACCATGGAAAGTACTAGTACTAGTGACTAAACCTTCAAACATACGTGTCAAAATTTTAGCTCAATCGGACCTTTACATTACAAGTTACAGTGGTTTAAGGGACGCTACTTTTGTCGAATTTGGGCGACCAGAGCGTTCAGCATCATTTGTGTTTTTACGACCGCGTTTAAAATCAGTATACCACCTCTTAACTGTTGTTTCCGACGGAGCAGAGTCCGAATAACACTTATCAAGCCATTGCTTTGCTTCAACGGTATTTTTTCCCATCAGGAAGCAAAATGTTTTATCAACACACGAAATTCAAATTTTTCCATTGTTTTGAAAAATGCAAAAGTAGCTTTTCTTAAACCACTGTAACTTGTAAAGTAAAAAGGTCCGATTGAGCTAAAATTTTGACATGTATGTTTAGTACTTTCTAAAAATCATATGGATTTGTCATTAGTGCCGTTTATTATGCCAGGCCCGTGACTTATTTAGGGTGCTTTCCAGCTACGACACAAGTAGACACAGTGTAAGGGCTATGGCAGAGAACGAGACGTAACATGCGTAGTCGTAAATGATATTTCATGTGTCGTACGACAAGCTTTGTCGGGCGTACTGATTGGCTGCTAGTGCGCATGCGGTCGTTCGTACGACAATATTTTGTCGTATATGTATATAATATACTTGTTGTCATTAAAATCTGTTGTTTCGACATAAATTGATATTTTAACCTGTTTTGATCGCAATCAGCTCGATATTTCATGTGACTATTGACAAACTTTTTAAGCACGTTGATACCGGAAATTTAACAATCTATTTGTGCATATAGCATTTTATGTAGATAAGTAACTTTATAATATTAAATATTCTATAGAAACAAAAAATGGTATATTTACATATAGTTTTCAATGTTCATTATTTTTTCATTCATTTTTACCGGCTTGTGAGTGGGTTATGTTTAAATGTGTCTAGGTAATAAACTATTGCAACGACTGTCGAAAAATGTTCGATCTTGCCCAACTTTCTTTCGACAAGAATGCTGGAAAATCTTCGACGGAAGCTCCCCACTTATGTGTCGTCAGTAGCCAATCGAAACGCCCGACAAGCTTGTCGTACGACACATGAAATATCAGCCTAAAGCGGGGAGCACAGACTTTTGCATAACGCATAAAGCATATGCATAAGGAATTTCATTGGTCCATTTTCTTATGCATGAGTCAATGGACCAATCAAATTCTTTATGTATATGGTTTATGCGTTATGCAAAAGTCTGTGCTCCCCGCTTAAGAGTCTGAGCACAAGCACTGCCGTAACATTTTACGACAACTTAAGTTGTAGACGTAAATAACGCACAAGCTTTGACGTATCGGCGTATGACGTGTTTATGCACGCTATCGAAAGATATGTCAATAATGTACATAAACACGTCATACGCCGATACGCCAAAGCTTGTGCGTTATTTACGTCTACAACTTAAGTATGTCGTAAAATATTACGGCAGTGCTTGTGCTCAGACCCTAAGGCAGAGAAAAACGTAATTGTCGTAGTAATGACTGGCAGCACTGGCAGTCACTACTACGACAGCTACGTTTTTCTCTACCTTACCTCACGTTACGACTACGCATGTTACGTCTCGTTCTCTGCCATAGCCCTAGGGTCCGCGCACAAAGATGGTCGCAACTTCTTCTTCTTGCTGATTATAATTGGCCGTGTAGCCGATCCAACGGCAATCGTCAAGGCCAGTAACAAAAGTCGTAATGTGTAAACGAAACAAAGTCGTAATATGTAAACGAAGAATGATGCAATGCCCGCGAAAAATGGCGAAGCCCGAACGAACACCGGGCGCCTGCGATTGCAACGTCACGCCACTCTAACGCGCGTCCGGACGGACGAACGAGCCGAGCCAGACGCGGACACACATCAGTAAGGAAATTCGAGGCACGGTCAAAGTCGGCAACACTTTCTCAAAAATATACAAAAAACGAACACCCGAACCGAGACGCGTCCGCACCGGTCGAGTGGTTCAACGGAACTTATGGTCGCAACTGTTTCCGACTGAGTCGTAATCGTAAAGCGGGGAGCACAGACTTTTGCATAACGCATAAAGCATGTGCATAAGGAATTTCATTGGCCCATTTTCATATGCATGAGTCAATGGACCAATCAAATTCTTTATGTATATGGTTTATGCGTTATGCAAAAGTCTGTGCTCCCCGGTTAAGTCGTTGTCGTAGGTCAACGCACAATGATTTGACGTATGTCGTTTACGTATATATCCTACGTTGCATCAGTTGAGCTTGAGATCTGATAATACCACAGCGATACTTTGTCGAGAGTCCTGTTGCGAACGGTAAGTGATATGATTATATATCATGCACATAGCTCTTTTAAATATTTTAACACTTGGGACATGCGTAACAATTGTGAATGTATAACAAAATAACGTGTAATTTCGAAATGGTTAAAGCCTACTTTATAGGTTATAACCTTACTTATGTATCAAATCCTTTATAGATTAATTGAATCAATTTATATGTATGTATTAATTTTTAGGCCTTGTGCATAATGGAAGAAATGTTATAATAATAGAAATAAATATAAAATATTAAAGAAATAAAGAAAATTAATAATAAAGATTAAATATAATGCACAATGAATAAAGTAAGATATAACACACATTACATTTCATATATTATTTAAAATATAAGACATAATATATCTTATGTTTTATTTATATCTATGTGCGTTACATTTAATCTTTATTCCTAATTTTTTTATTTTTTTAATATCTTTTATTTATTTCTGTTGCTAATATTTCCTCTAATGCATTGAGGGTCTTTATACTCTTTTATAATATGTATATGCTATTGGGAGCTTTTCAGTAAAGGCCTTTGCACGTAAAAAAAAAGCGTTAACCGTAACCGTAATTTTAAAGTTAGTCGTAAAAATTTTGTCATGTTGGAATTTTACATTTAACGCCTTAATGCCAACCAATAGGAAAGCTCTATATCAGGTTATTTATACACTATTTTGGTACTTGCGGTCGCAGTTTTCGTTTCTGATGTTTGGAAAAGAGATAATTCGGGTCAAACAACAAAAGGAAGGTTAAAGTTACGGTTAACTCTTCTTTACGTGCAAAGGCCTTAAGCAACAAAAATATTATATTATATTATTTATGTAATTATTTTTTAATGAATAAATATATAATTTTTTATATAATTAAAATATGTATTATTACAGATATATGAAATCATAATGATGCCACAAAAAAAAAAATTCTTATTTTATACTGGCTTCTCTCGTGTTATTATTTGAAAAAAAAAATTAAATGTCCATAAGAGATGGATAAATAGAAGATGGCATACAAGACCAATCAATAAATTAAGGCAGCAATTTGGTCATTACACAAATCTTTTTCAAGAATTAAAAAATGAGACCATGTTTTTTCGCTATACAAGAATGTCAAACCAAAGTTTTGAAAGATTACTTCAACTATTGCAACTTCATCTGATGAAGCAAAGTTATAGAGCATTATCTCCAGAACATAGATTGCTTATCGCTTTAAGGTATAATTTATTATTTATTACATTATATAAAGAACGTTCCAGCAAGAGACAAATATCGATTTATTATGTCTTTGTCTCTCACTGAATAACAAACAAAGACAGAATAACTTTTGTGTTGATTTATATCTCCTGTTGGAGAACTCACAGTAGTAAAAATTAGACATTTGTACATAAATTTGTTGTATGGGTTATGATATAATTAGTTTCGATTTCATATCACAAAAGTTTGATCTGATCTGACCAAAGTGAAAATTGAGATTGGGTATAATGTTCTTTTGTTTTTGGGAGAGAAAGCAACTTACATATGTATATATTTTAGATTTTATAACTTCTTAATGAAAAATATTTTTTTTATTATTATAGATTTCTTGGAACTGGAGACCAAACATCATTTATTGCTCTAGATTTTCGAGTAGGAGAATCTACAGTCAGAATGATCAATAAAGAAGTATGTTCTGTTATTGTAAAAATTTTACAGCCATTATATCTCTCTCCACCAACAAAAGAAGAATGGACTCATATTGCTTTTAATTATTGGAAGAGATGGCACATGCCAAATTGTTTTGGAGCAATCGATGGCAAGCACATTATGTTGAAATGTCCACCTAATTCTGGAAGTTCTTACTATAATTATAAAAAACAACACAGTATAGTATTAATGGCAGTAGCTGATTATAGATATAAATTCACTCTAGTAGATATAGGAGCCTATGGAGGCAATAGCGATGGAGGTATTTTTGCAGACTCTGAAATAGGTGTGTGTTTGAAAAATAATGATCTTAATTTGCCAAAGGATATAACTGCATTACCTGGCTGTGATGTTATGATATATGGATATTTCGTAGCAGATAATGCTTTTCCACTTTCAACCAGAATAATGAAACCATATTCTGGCAAACAGTTATCAAATAAAAAAAAAAATTTTTAACTACAGACTTTCAAGCGCTAGACAATCAATAGAAAGTGCTTATGGAATATACGCCAATAAATTTGAAATATTTCATAAAGCTTTATGTGTGTTACCTAAAACAGCAGATATAATAGTAACAGCTTGTGTTTGTTTGCACAATTTCATTATGACTGAAGAAGAATTAAAAAATGGAGAAAAAACTTATAATCAAGAATTCTTACATAATGATGAATGTATGGTGTAGAAATACACGATGGTTACCGAGTGAAAATTTACAAAGTTTAAATACCCGTGCAGGTTTGGCACAAAGAGACTTATTATATAATTATTTTACTACTCCTGCAGGTGAAGTAAAATGGCAATATGATTTTGTAAAAAGAGGTTTATATGGAGAAGGAAACAGAATACAATAATTTTGTACAATAAAAATGTTATATTTATTATAATACAAAGCGTTAACTTATTGCGATACCATAACTTATGTTAATAGACATGTAGAGTAATTGAAACATCATATTTTTGCATATAAATATACAATCTAGTTTTTTAAATTTGTAACCCTGAAATGTTTAGTAAAATAAAAGTCTTGCATGTAAATAAACACCTATTTATTATTTGTTATAATTCGGATTTATTAAAATATTTCCACTTACCTAATATCATTTTTAAATACAATTATTGAAACATGGCAGCCAAATGATAAAGTAACTGTTTCATCAATATTTCACGCTTGTGATGGGATACGAAGGAACATCTGTATAAATAAAAAATTAACAAAAGATATATAACAAATAGTTAATATATATTTATTCTAATAACACTTTAGTACATTAAAATAGTGTTATTAACTGAAAATTGTAGTAGTTTTACAGATATTTAATTTTAAATTTAAAAAATACGTCAATATTATTATAATAAAAAGAAATACAATATTAAGTACATTGAAAATGTATATTTCAAAATAAACTTATAGCATTATATTAAAAAAATGATGCAATGAACAATAAGATTCTGCAAACTGGAGTTATAATTTTATATAATAAAATAAATTTCTGCAGTTTTTGTACAACATAAAAATAAAATTCTGCATTAAAATAAATAAAAACATAAAGAGAATAAAAAAACGTATAGAGAAAGAAGTGAAAAAATACATTTCTTATTACGTTTTGGGTAATGGTGCAATAAGAGCATCAAATAATAACTTTTTTCTTGCAGATTTTTCAGGTTCTGGAATATTTTCTAAATGCACGCGAATATAATCGACAAATGACTGATCAACTGTTTTTACATCAGTTGTAGTATTTTCTTTTGTGCTTTCCAGAAAATTCATAACTGCGTTACTGATGTTTGTGAATGTATCATCCATATTTCTTGATTCATCTATTTTGCTTCTTTTAAACCTTGGAACGTTTCTTTTTTTATTATGATCTTGTTGAACATTTGCCGTATCTTGAACTGCATCTAGACATGCACTAATGTTTCTTTTCTGAGATACTTTAATAGTATCTTGCCATTCAGATTCCAATTCCTCAGCAGATCCGTTATTACTATTCTTTTCAGATATAGCTTCTGTATCTTTTAAAAATTGAGGTGTATTCTTTTTTCTTTCAATGTTAGAAAAAGTTCTATAAATAACAAAATATTTTTTAATTCTCAACTTTGAAAGAACTATTTGTTCTTTCTCAGCATTAATGTAACTAATTTTATCATATAACTCTATTTACCTTCTTCTTTTAATAAAATTGTCAAGAAAAGATAATTGAGTAAAAAATGGAAACGTTTTGCGTTTTGAGCAACCACTTCCACTTTTGTATTCATCTTTAATACCAGTGGCGTAAATCTCACCCCCGCAACCCCCGCAATGCGGGGGGGCGCACCGAAGCCGGGGGCGCCATCCAGTCCCTTGATGAAAATTGTGAATTACGAGGAGAGCGACTTTGGTTTTGAAAAAAAATAAGAAATGATAATAGTTGTTTATGTTGCACACTATTATTATAACGGCTTACTACAGTGCACGCCATAATAGTTACATGAAAAGTAATATATTTCATGACAAGAGGCGAAAATCTGTGAGTCTGATGAACTCAGCACGAGTTGAAGCGTGGGCGCCATGGCGCTCGAGTTGAGAGCGAGTAATGAAAATATCATATATCAGCCGAATAAAAACTGGCCTTAGCCCTGAATAATGGACGATAATTTTTATTCCACAGGCACAAAAAAGGTACTTGTGTGGGTCACTGAAGACAGGGAGTTAAAGGCATTCGTTTTTACCAGCTGAGACAAAAGGCTCTTATTTTTCCAAGGGAAAAAGATTGCTTTTTTTTCCAGACTTGCCAGGGCAAAATGATCCATAGGGAAAAGAAGAGTCTTTTTCTCTCGGCTGGTAAAAATGACTGCCTTCACCCCCGTCTAGAGGACCAAACAAGCACGTTTTTCGAGCCTGAGGGATAAATATTATATTTTGTTGGCGCAAAGACACTATAATCAGTGTTTACAATTTATGAACTAAAAACAACCCGTGAAAAAAAAATATATATAGATTTAATATAATTAAATATAAATTTTATTAAAATTTAATATAATACTTAATAACGATTCCAATAAATATAATTTTATTAAAACTTTTTTACTTTTTGCCAAGATGAAAATGTGAAGTATTGAGACGTGGACCAAGGGCGCCTGAAAAATTTTGCGGGGGGGCGCACATACACTCAGTTACGCCACTGTTTAATACTTCTTTTTTCACGGCTATCCCGATAAAAACAGTACTTGAAATCTACGTTATAGCTATGTGGATCAGCATCGTTGAATCCACATGAATGTTCAAGTCGACATCCACTCAAGAACGGTACTAGAATCCACGTGGATGAGATCATTGATTTAACGTGGAAATCCACGTGAATATTTTCCAACTTTTGGAGACATATCCTCGTATTATTCACATAAATTCTTATTTCATAATTGAGTGCTCTTTTCATTTTACACACATGCATGATTTTAAATAAAAATAAGGAGAAATATGTAAGAAACTACAGTATTTATTTTGATTAAGTATATGAAAATATTACATAAAATATATTTAAAATATAAAATAAGAAACATTCATATATCTAGTCGTTTTCATCATAGCTTTCATTACTTTCTGATTGTTCGTCTTGTTCTTTCCCAAGTAGCAAACACACGTCATTTTGACGTCAAATTCTGGTCATGTTGGTACGAATGACGTCAAGTGACCAAAAAGTGACCAACCGATATTATAACGTCATTATGACATCGTCATAATGACGTTATAATGACGTTATATTTTGGTTCTCCTTAATTTTCCTTTTAATAAGAAAAAAGATATAGTAATAGTAACCAAAAAGAAATAATTAAACACAAATAGCTGATTATCATTGAATTATTTTGTTAAAATAACAAAATACAATTTTTTTGTTAAATGAACAAAATATTGTAAATTTTTTTATTTAGCGGCGGTACACATTTATTTGCTTACTTACTTTTTGTAAATAACAAGGTAAAATTTTGTTGCCATTATAAAATAAGTGTTCTTTTTGTAATTTTAACAAAATAATCTGTTTGGGTAGACAAAATATTTTTATTAAAAGTATATATAGACAATTTGAAACATCTCTGTCAATAAGGTAACAGTGGAGCAGTACGTTAGGTGAACGACTCAGAACAGGACCATGGATCAAGTCACGAGTTCAAATCCTATCAGGTTTAAAAGTTTTTTCCTAGGTATTATTAGTCAGTTCAGCACTTAAGGAGAGGACACAAATGATGGAGAAAGAAATCTAATTAATAAGAACTGCTGTAACTTTTTTTTTTTCGTGTGCGTCCACATGCGTGCGAGCAATATGGCACCCAATGAGGATCTGTCATACGCATGACATTCACGCGTGCGGATAATTTTGCACGCGTGAATGCACTGTGAGACCATTGTGCGCGCATTTTGTTATCTGGGAACATGATGTTAAAATGACGTCCTTGCAATGACGTCAATAATTTTGCGACATTAGTACGTCATTAGTACGTCATTAAAACGTCATTTAATGACGTCAGTCATGGTCAGTAAATGACCCAAATTTGACGTCAAAATGACGTATATTTGCTACCTGGGTTGCTCTTTTGTAACCTAATGTTTTCGTTCTCAAGACGTTTCTTTGCGTTCTTTAACCAGTTCGCAATATGGGAGTTTGCATTCTCTCTATTATATAAAAAGTAGAGGTTTCTAGTTTTGCTTTCTTGTGAATGTCTCTTCAGAGCAGCTGCAAACAAAAAAGTATCACATATTAGTTGAATACGTTCTTAATGCAAATCTGTTAAGTTATGAAAATATAAGTATAATTTAAATTGATTTTAGAGATTAATCATATTTATAAAATATATATTAATGTATATTATTAATAATATATAAAACTTACCAATGACAAGACCATAAAATGTTGTATCTAAAAATTTACTTTTCTGAATTTTTACTCCTTTTCTATTTGTTCCTTTGAAATTAAAATGTACTGCAAGTTTATTTGTCATCAGCTTGCGCATAATGCAATATACAGAGCCTTTTAAATCTTCCTTGCAATGCTTTACGAACAATCGAATCTGTAAAACATGAAAATACGAGTATAATATGGAAAAAGTATAATTAATATTTCAATACATCATATAATTATTGTTTTATTTGCAAAATAAAAGAGAGAGAGAGAGAAGGAAAATACTTTTTTTACCATTATCAATTTTTTCTCTTCGTTTAAATTACATTCTTCCCATTTGTTGAATTCCTCCATAGAAGTTAATGGAAGAGTTGGAATTCCGAGTATAGGATTCTCAAGTATTTCCTCAGGATGACATGTTGCAGTATAAATTTTTATAATAGTGACATGGAGCTTATCAATACGATTTCTCAAATCACTTATAGCAGCCATTATAGTTCTTTCGTTGAAACCGGCTATTTTGTAAAAAAAATAATTTATTCTGTTCTAGAATAGAAAAAGTTATAATATGAGAAATTGACC